CAATTAAGGAAATCCAGTTGATTTTAGCATAAGAGAGATAAATACTAGGGTGGATCAAAGTGACAGCACAACAGTGAACATTATGATCAAGTGTCTCTTTTTTTCAACTTTCAGATTTTGTGTGCTATGAACTCAATTGCTCCCCTCCCCGAATTTGCATGCTGCAACCCCAACCACCCACATGGGATGACATTTGGAAATAGATCTTTAGGAGATAATTCAGTTTAGGTGAGGTCATGAGGGTGGAGTCCTCATGATGAGAATTCTGCCCTTATAAAAAGAGACACCAGAATGCTTGCTTTGTCTTCAGAACTGTAAGATATAAATTCCTTTTGTTTAAGCCACACAGTCTATGGTATTTTGTTATGGCAGCCTGAGCTAACAGACACTGTGTATGTACTTTCTCAAGTGTTATATGGATTTAGAAGTTGTCAGAATTATTTTGCATATGTAATGGGCTGTACTTTTAATCTTCTAAATCGTAAAATCATTTATATTATTTGTTAATTTTTATAATCAATGATGCCCAAAGAGGCCTTAATTTCTTAGGCTCCTTTCACCTTCATTATCTGCATCAGCAATTCGTTATTTAGGGCCATTTTGGAGGAATCCTCCCTCTTTAAAAATAAATTCTTTGCTACTTGTCAACACTTGCTGCCTATGTATCCAGTGGAGAAAGGTCTGTGAAGATGCAAATGCTGATTGGTTGGTAGGCACCCTCACCAGAAATTGTTCACTCCAGGCAACTTCTTAGATCAACAGTCCTGACATAGTCACTTAGTATCACAGGTGTCTCAAATTTAACATGTCCAATATTCTTGATTTGGCACTATCTCAAACTGCTCTTCCTCCAGTCTTCACCATGTCATTGAAGGGCAAATCCTAAATACCAGGAAACCCTGCTGGCTATACCTTAAAAACAGAAAAATAATCTCACTACTTCTTACCATCTCAACTGCTATACCCTAGTAAGTCACTATCATCTCTAGATTACCAACAGATTGCTAACAGATCTTGTTTCTACACTAACCCCCTTCTGTCTATTGTCAACACAGCTGAAAGAATGAGCCGTCCTAAATCGTATCATGTTCCACTTAGGTTCCAAACTCTTCAGTGGCTCTGTATCACACCCACAGTATAAAAGAAAGTACTTACAACGGTCTGTAAAGCCCTGCATGATCTGCTCCAATGTCCCTGCTCTGCAGCCACTCCTACTACTCTCCCTGTTGCTCAAACTATTCTGGGCTCACTGGCTTCCTTGCTATTCTTCAAATAGATCAGGCAGGCTTTTGCTTTATGACCTTAAGTATAGCTCTTTGTGGAAATCTCTTCCTATAGATAAGTACAAAGTGTCTAACTCATTCATGAACTCTAAGTTTTTGCTCAAATCTTGCCTTTTCAATAAGGTTACCCAAGGACTCAATTTAGAGCTAGAACCTACTCTCTCATCTCCCTACCCTTAACCTTGACTTAGGTTTCCTTATTTTTCCATAGCATTTATCACTTTTTCACATGGTTTGTAATTGACTTATTCATTATCTTTACTTACTACTGTCTGTTCTCCCTGCTAGAATGTAAGCTCCAGAAAAGCAAGGACATTCTTCCCCTCCTATTGATGTATGTTTTCCATGTCTAAAGTGGTGTTACATCATATATGCTCAATAAATAATTGTTGAATAAATGAATTATTCTACCTAAATGAAATTTCTTAGTGATTTAAAATAAATTCCATTAATGTTGATTTTCATTAGCTGGTTTTTCTTATTTATTACATATACATGATTTATACGAGAAAAGTAGGCTCTGGCTTTGTGACTTAAATTTGCTGAGGAGCTGTGACTTTCGTCTCTCCCTCATTTATATAGTGGAAAAGAGAAAATGAGGTGGTAACAGATAGGAAAAAGAACTGCAATTAATTTATTGTTTGTATTTGACTGGCAAATGTGCCAGTTAATTGAATATCTAAACTTATGATAAGGCCAATGCCATCAATATTCAGAAGAAATTCCATAGTTGGACATAATCCTGTAAGCTTTATGGTCACCAGAAAGTATGTATCCTGAGTAAGAGAAGTAATTAAATTGGCTAATCTTGGTCAAAACAATGCATTTCCTTGACTATTTCTCTAGTTATATTTTCCACTGCCATTTAAAAACTTTTAAAGCCTTTTTTTTTCCTTTTCTGGTGTGAATACTTTTATTATATTCTGAAATACAGTACTATGGTTGGGGGTGGAAAAGAAAGGGAACATAAAATATTTAAGAGACCATATTCTGCGGCTTAACTCTCAGCTTTGTTAGTCACTATGCAACTGCAGTTGTGGGTAAATGAAATACAATTCTCCACCTTACTTTTCACATCTGTGAAATGGGAATAATAGCACATACCTAATAGAGTTGTTTTGAGCAGTAACACTTCACAACACACAGTGCCTGGTACACAGTATTCACTCTATAATTATTTTTATAAGATAAAGAGGATTTTATTAAAATAAAATACTTAAAAAGCAGTTTTTTATTATACATGACATTTTTGTAAAATACTATTGTTCATAGTATTAACTTGACTCATGGAGACAAACATTACTATTATTTAAAAAAAATAACGCTATAGGCTTATTTGAATTTTTATACTAGAAAATTTATTTTTATTTATTTATTTATTTTTTTGAGACAGAGTTTTGCTTGTTACCCAGGCTGGAGTGCAATGGTGAGATCTCGGCTCACCGCAATCTCTGCCTCCTGGGTTCAGGCAATTCTCCTGCCTCAGCCTCCTGAGTAGCTGGGACTACAGGCATGCACCACCATGCCCAGTTAATTTTTTGTATTTTTAGTAGAGATGGGGTTTCACCATGTTGACCAGGATGGTCTCGATCTCTTGACCTCGTGATCCACCTGCCTTGGCCTCCCAAAGTGCTGGGATTACAGGCATGAGCCACCACGCCCGGCTATACTAGAAAATTTATAATTTGAAACACTAGCTTTAGGGAAAGAGATGCTGTGTTGTTCAAAGTGCTCCTCTGCATCTTCATGGTAGGAACTTTCTTTGGTAGCCCTTTCTCTAAGTTAAGAATCAGGAACTGTGAAGGATCTGATACTTTACCCTATTTGTAAACAAACAAGTAGAGTGCCACAGTTTCATAGAAGTTGGCAGAATGCATGAGATTCCTGAGTCAGATACAAAGAACTTTATTACTCCAAGGATAATAGGCAGCATGAGCTTCATACTTCCATAGATTCCTTTCGCTCCAAAGTCCCACAGGGCGAAAAGGAGCTGCTAAATGGGTGCTATACCTGTTTTGGGTTTGTTATCCAACTGGAAGAACTCCATGCTTAGGAAAGTCCTAAGAAGGCTGCTAGCAAGCCTACCCAAACTTTGTCCTGGCAGGAAATAGTATATTTGAAATTAAATGTGCAGAAAGGCAAGAAACCCATGGGGACTTAACTCCCAACTACACAAATGCAGTTGCATCAATAAGGCTATTTTCATGAAAAGAAGATGCACAAAAAGTTTGACCAGAGTTAGACTAATATTGTAAATGCAAACACTCAATCCTTTCTAAGCATTTCTTTGAATATGTAGTTAATCATTTGGAATAAAATTTTGCAATGCTTTGTTCTTTCTTGTGCTTTCTCACTTGATACCTTCATAAGCCATGCCTTTTTTTCCCTCTTATTAAGTAGGTTTTACTCTTCCCGTCTATGTATTTATGCCAATAATTTAACCTTAGTGGCTTAATTATTTCTTACAATATTGAAGAAACTTATACTTTCCCAAGAGTGGCTTCCACATCAGCAATCTTCCTTTCTCTCTGCCTTTTCCTCTGACAATAGTTTTGCAAGTCTAACATCCTCCTCTGTAGCATAGCAAACCTACCTAAACTTTGCCCTGGCAGGAAATAGTATATTTGAAATTAAATGTGCAGAAAGGCAAGAAACCATGGGGACTTAACTCCCAACTACACAAATGCAGTTGCATCAATAAGGCCATTTTCCATTTTTCAAATAGATACTCAGCTCTACAAGGCCGATTTCCTTTGTGAATAGTTAACACTTTTTTTTTGACAGCCTTATTTTTAAGAAACATGGTAGCCCTTCTCTTGTTCTTGAGATAACTCAAAATAATATAATTTGATCTTTTTATTTAGTTGGTTTCATTTCTACAGCTTCCTTGTCCTTTTAAAGTCAGAGCTACAAAATTCATTTGAGTTCCAGAGATAAATCAGACTTGTCCATTGCTATTATTAATAAGTCAAAGTAATTGAACATTTAACAAGAGTTGCCCAAAGGCTGATTGAGATTATGTGCCAGACACCTTCTATATTATCAGTGTATAAACAGCAAATAACTTTTTCGTATATATTCACATCCTGTGCAATATTTGGGACACACTTACACTAAAAAACAATTTATTTGGAAATCAAATTCAACTAGATAACCGTTTTTTTTGTTTGTTTTTTTCCTTTTTTTTATTTGCCAAATCTCACAATTCAGGTCACCATTTATCTACCAAACAATATCAATAACTTGTTCGTACAATGTGGCCTCAAGTGGGTTTTGGCACAGAAGCACTCCCCTTAGAGCACAGGTGTGGTACTGGTTGCAAAGTTTTGATGTGACATCAACACTATACAAAAGTAAATGTAACTGCAAATTTGAAATTCACAAATGGGTCTTTGAAGTCCAGCTCAAAAGAGTGGAGGAATCGGTTAAAATAAGTCACAGACTTGCGGGTTTGGGGTTTCCAGAAAAAAAAGTAACTTGAACAGTTGAGAGCTTGGAGACCTTTCCAAAGAGCGTGAGAAGTTAACAAAAGGCTTCTTCACGAGTTAGAAGGAGAGAGCGCGAGAACCTGAGCGAGCCAATAAGCAGGGACTGGCAGGGCTCCCGACGGGTGTCGCCAATCAGGGCAGAGATGGGTGAGGCTAGGCTGAGGGAAGGGGCGGACTGCAGTAGAATTGGCTCCAAAGGGCGGGACTCAGCCAATCGGAATCGGGCGGGGTGGGGCTGGACTGCGGAAGGGGGCGGGTTCGGAGGAGTGAACTGTGCCGTTAGTGTGTCTTTCAGCCTCACCTGCAGCTGCACCTCCCTGCACCTGCATCTTTGCTTTCCTCCCTGCACAGCGACGCTGACTCGGAGTGTGTCGCTCGCTGCGCTCGTCATGGCCTACCCGGGATACGGAGGAGAGGTGAGTCCCAGCCTCTTGGCCGTGTCTCTCTCCCTCGCGGGATGTGGCGCCCCCGGGGGCGGTGCCAGCGTGCGGGTCCGCCCGCGGCTCCTGCTCCCTGCGTCAGTGCCTGGTACTCAGCAGCGCCGGTACTCGGGAGATGTTGGAAACCAGGGCCGGGGCGAGCGTTGACCCTGGGATGACTTGGAGATCAGGCGTTCTTGAGGTCCCTCGAGGAGCGTCCTGGTGGAGCCGAGGGAGTAATGTGTGTTTGGAAATTTATTTCCTGGAATGGAGGAACAAGCCGCCCTCTTTTTGTTCCAGTAATCTTTTGTGGTACATCAGTCCCCCCCCCCCCCCCCCCCCCCCCAGTGTTGCTAGAGATCCTCTTTCTGAATTTCTTAACCACTTCTTGTTCTTTAAGTTCCTTATGAATAAATTAAGGTGTATGGTAAATGACTCCTAATCTTTACTGTTATTCGAAGAGCAATCTGTTTAGACTGTCTCCCTCCACCCCAGGCGGGGGCAAGTTGCTCTTTCTTATAACTTTTATCCTATATCACCTTTAGAAGTTGCAAGTTGTAATCCTAGTGTCCTGGTAGCTACCCCCTTATTTTCAAAAAGGAACCCAAACCTTTGATATTGATGTCAGTGATCTCCAAAGTGCGGTGAGCGAGCTGTGTTAACAAAGTTAACATTAGTTTGATCCACTGCGGTGTGGGTAGAAGATAATATATTTTCTAATTTTATTATATATATTTTTTACCTAAAAACAGAAATTGTGTTTTACTGATTTTAACATAGGACTTGATTTGGGCTATGGTTGTGGTCTTCAAAAGAGTTACTCCTACCCCTGGGAGTTCATGGTTTTTGTTGTTGTTTTAGGGTGTGAATTTCCAGGTCCTCAACTTTCACACATATTCGTTCCTAAAATTGATTTGCTTGAAATTCAGACTTGCCTCAGTTCCCTCTGGCACCTTCCTCTTTGTAATGCCTGCCCCTCCTCATTCCTTAAATTTAGTAAGGAAGTTTAAAGTGCCTAAGGAATGTAAAACCCCCTTCAAAGATTAGTTAAGATAGCATAAACCTGTAGGGCTTTAAAAATGTCCCTAGTTTATACTTATTATCATTTGGTTGAAGCTATCTGTTAGAAGTGTGATATATTTACCTTTGTTGGTATGCTCTGAATTCATATATATGAGATAAAATGGTGTGGCAAGAGTAATATATTTTCATTCAAATAATTTGCTGCTTCCTTATCCAACTTTTGTCAGAGTGCTTGAACTTGATGGAGAGTTCCACAACATAATAATAATAATCATAATAAAAAGTCTGTGTTTTGACATTTAAATTCCCTTTTCCATGTATTTGAAATAAACAGCTATTTTCAGCTGTTATGCTTGTTATTAATAGCCGGAAAGAGAAGCAATATAGATTAGAGGCACTGATTTAAAAAATGTAATTGAAATATTTTAAGATACATTGGATAAAAATTTGGGATAAAACTTACATAATTTCTTTAATAGGAGTATATTAATAAGAGAGTTGAGACTTTTATAAATCATGTTAAATAAAGGCAACCTCTACCTTATTAATGTTTCTTATATTCCTTTAACAAAATGTAAAATGTTAGCTGCTGGACCTAATTGTTTTGATAGTATACTTTTATCTAATTAAGTGCATGATTCATCTCTGTAGGAGATGCATTTCCAATAGATATTTTCTTTCTTCTTTTAAGTATTGTTTATCAAAATTGTATTTTTTTTTACTAATTGTATACTAATAAAAATTATAACTCAATTGTAAAGGACATTTTTTTTTTTTCTTTTTCTTCATTGCTCATTTTGGTCACAGGAAATGAAACAAAATCTAAAACTTTGTTACATGTTTTTATTGTACATGTTGTATTATACAGGCTTCAGAGTTTTCAATAATAAAAGCACAATTTAAGCTCAAAAACTTACACAGATTAGATTTTCACACAAGAAATAGCAAAAAAATGAATTCAAAAAATAAAAGAAAACATAAAACTTACAAATTTTATGTAATAGCCTTTTTAGGTCTGTTTAAAAATGGAGGGAACAAGTACCAGACTATCATAGTGTATAGATGACACTGTGTGTGTGTGTGTGTGTGTGTGTGTGTGTGTGTGTGTATACTCTATTATAGTGTGTATTACTATATATGATACTGTGTATATGTATTATACTATTTTTCACTATTATATAGACACTATTATACATATATACACACTATTATATATATGCTTATATATACACTATTATGTAGTAATACATACTGTTTATATTTACACACTATTATATAGTAATATACACACTAAGTTGCTTATGAATAATATATTAAGCAATACATTAAGTATTATATAGTAATACACACTGTCATAGTCTGTGTATTTACATATTATGTATTACATATAATACATACTATAGTATACACACTATAAATTACACAATATTATATATAGTAATACACACTATAATAGTGTGCATATATATACATATAAAAGTGTGTACTTTCCAAAGAGTGATGTAAAATTTTGTAAATATCAAGATTTACAATATGTTGGTCATCGTATTCTTTACAACTATTTAAACTTAAAAACTTTATATGTCAGTATCAAATATGGGAAAAGGGTATATAGTTTTTCAAAAACCTTTTAAGGAGAGGGAAGCAAAATGTTTAAAGAAACTGCTGTGGTTCTGATAATATCCTGAGGGATGAGATAGAGTTTTGTATGCTGGCCTCTCACTGGCTTATTTTCAGCTTATTGTGGCTTATTACAGTTTATATATGTGGGATTCTCTGAAGTTATAGATTATGTGATCTACTTTTAACCAAATCTCTCACAAAATAGCAGTAGTAAAGATTCAAAAGCGTGCAAAACAATATGAAAGGCTTGTACATGAAAATATTGTTTAAGCCTTTCTTTAATCACATTACGTATTAGTAATAATAATGATCAATTTTGACTAATTTGGAACTATTAAGAGGACAACTTGAAATATGAATTTATGTAAACCATGTTTAGGGATGAACCTTGTTGGCCAGGGCCCCAGTTCTCCTCCATATGGGCCCTTTCACATGGCTCTTCCACTTCTTCATAGCATGGCGGTCAGGTTCTAAGAGAGAGAAACAAAAGCTGCCAGTCCCCTTAAAATCTTAAATCTGGAACCGCCATGATGCCTTTTGTACTATATTCTACCAGATAATGCTGAAACAGGCTCAGCCCATATTGAAGTAGGTGGAGAAATAGTTTGTGCTTTTGGACAAGGGGAGTGGCAAAGAATTTGTAACCATCGTTAATCTGACCACCAGGTTCTCAAATTATGGGATTTGGGAAAGTTAATGTTGCAAATTGGGAGGGGAAAATAGATTAAAGGTTATTCCTAAGGACAGATTCTTCATATAATACTGCTTGCCTGACTTTGATTAAGAAACAAGTTGTGTTTGTCCTTCACAAATGGAGATGCTGCAGTTAAGGGTCCATAGCCAGTCTTGAGGCACCATCTCTGCATTAGCTTTTCACCAATGTGCTTGTACTTTATTTGTCTTCTCTTTTCAGACAAAGGTTTTTCAGTTTTTCTTCCTTTTGCAAAGTTTAAGGTAAGGAGGTTCATCAATAAACCTTAAATTTAAATTCTAGGATATAGGCTAGGACTTCATTGTCCTCCATGTCCTTGGAGGTCTTGAAACCAAAGCCCAGGTATGTGTTACTGCCACATGTTCTCAGAGTAAAAGCTGTTTTGGGAATTTTGCTAATTTTTTACCTGTGGGTTTAGATTTATCCCCAGATATTGGCCTGGAAATTTCCTCTTATCAGTACTCTTGAGAAGATGTTAAAATAATGAAACTGTTTGTTTTCAGTATTAGGGTGGTTTGAATTAGCATGCCATTATTAAAAGTAGGAAGGTGTTTTTTTTCTCTTGAGTTAGTGTTTGTGATTTAGGTACTTTTATAAGTTCCTTTTCATCTATATTTATCCCAATTTCAAATATATTGGTATAAAGATATTCATATTTGTTTATATATATCATATATACTTATGTACAGATGTATTAAATACATATTTCTTTCAAATTCTATTTGTGATTATATATCCTTTTTTTATTTCTGAAATTGGCCTGTTCTTTCCTGGTCAGTTTCTTTTCTTCTTTTCAAAGAGTTATTTTTGATTTTTAATATATTCTGTTTTAGTGTTTACTGTTTTTTTTCTTTCTCAGACCTCATTGCTTCATAATCTAGATTTTGACCACCTCTGCAAACACATTTCTTAGAGCTCCAACACTTCCTCCATTAACTCGCCCTCACTTCTCTTTCTGCAGCTGTTCAAACTACTTGTGAATAATCTTGATATCACTTCCTCCTAAAAATGCTAAGTAAAATGCCTTTTTAAGGTATTAAAAATGTATACCATTTCCCAAAGTGAAAAGAAATGAAGAGAGCCATAGCAGTAAATAAGTAAGTGTGTAGCTTCTGGGGTCAGATTGTCCATATATATTTGATTACACTTGAGCTCCAGGAGGTTGAGGCTGCAGTGATCTCTGATTGTGCCACTGTATTCTAGCCTGGGCAACAGAATGAGACCCTGTGTCCAAAAGAAACAAGCAGACAGGAATAATGCTTAGTATATAAAATGACTTAATAAATATTAGTTGCTTATTGTTATTGATATTATTGTTATTCATTTTGAAGAGGATAATGGTTATACCTAGTCTGTGGTTGGAATTATCATTTTATTGATCTTTTCATTGTCATCTTGCTTTTTAAGAAAGTTTTCTGGTGGAAGTCGTGTATCAGCTCAGAGCACTTTCCCATTAGGTCACAATATCATTGTATTTACCCATGTATTCTTTTAAGTATGTGCCTTAAGGTGTACTTCTTAGTTTTGTTTTAGGTAAAATCTCGCATTTCTTTTTTTTTTTTTTTTTCTTCTTTTTGTTTACTTCAGGGATAAAAGTAAACATTTTTTTAAATTGTGCCTCATGTTCTTCTGTTGAATTAAGTTCTTAGAGGCTAGTAACTTTCTTTTTTCTTTTACACTTCTTTTAATATTGGGTAATATATGTTAATGAATTGAATTATGTCTTAATGTAGGACATCTAGCACTTTGTAGTTAAAGTTTTTGTGATAGATAGTTAAGATTAGAAGCTTTTGGTAACTGGGTTTACTTTTTGATGTCCTTCTGATGATTTCTTTTAATCCACTTTTATAGATAATAGGTAATATTTGTATTACTAACCTTCTCCCCTTCCACTCTTATAGTTTGGAAATTTTAACATTCAGATACCAGGAGCAGGTCCAGACGTGATCCTTGGTGGATTCTCTGGGTACCCAGCATATTCAGACCCTTATTCCTCAGCTGATGACCCCATGTATGCTTACTTCAGTGCTGTTGCTGGACAGGTGAGATGCTAAATTTATTGCATGTTTTTAAAAATTATTATTTAAGAGAAATGCCAGCTGTTTTACTTAGGATATCATTTAAAATGATATTAATTTTATATTTTAAATTTATCTAGACTAATTTTCTTCCTGAGATCAGAGATAAGCATAGTCATAATTATTTCATTTTAAAAGTCTATAGATGTGATGCTTGACATACTGTTCATTTGACTAAAAGAGAAAACATTTTTTTTCATAGTGGGGAAATGAGATTCTTTCTTACCTAGTATGCTTGCCTTACTGAAATTCTTCTACAAGGGGCTCCTCTTACCAGTCACTAGCACTCTACCAAAACGTATATATTAATATCCTCTTATGAGTTACCATTTTTATATCACTTAAATGTTTTTATTTCTTTCAGTCTGTTTGACATTTAGAAGGACCATACTCTCCCTGAGCAATTGATAACACAAAGCTAAGTAGGTTTAGCCTGTCCATTCTTTTATAGCATGCAAAAATGAGTATTGGAAATTTGAGGAAGGTAGAAAGTACTTAGAACAGTTATAAGGAACAATATTTCTATCTTGGGCCTCACTCCTATTTAAAAAAAAATCTCAGTTAAAACCTAGGTATGTCAAACAATATGATTGAAAATCATGTCAGAATGTTATAAATTTATTCAAGTTGGTAATTACATTTTTCACAGATGAAGTTATGTCATTTACAGTAATCTTGTTTGTATATGGGTGGTAGATTTTCCAGATTACCAAAAAAATCATGTTGGGATTTATTTTTATCTATTAAAAATTAAAGTAAATAGTTTATTATGTTTGTTGTGGTATGCTATTAGGATACTATTAGTTTCCAGTAAATGTGAGAGAGTATTTAAAAGGCTGACTTTCTGATGCCCAATAGTCAATAGGGAAGGGTGAGCCTGCCAATTCAAGTACTTTAGTTCTGTGGGTGAATTGTAACTGACGATATGTGAATACTGTGGTCAGGTGAAGCTTTTCTTTTACTCCTCCATAACTGTGACACTATGCCACAATTTATTTTTTTTAAGTAATTTTATATGTATTTTTCATGTGAAATTTCAAGGAAAATTAAGCAAATATGATATGTATTATAACCCTTTGTATAACTTATTAGTTGTATTTGACAGAAGTGTTGAGTAATTATTCACAATTGGAAGGAATGCCAATTCAATTCACAATTGGAAGCAATTAAAAGATTCCAATTTCTTCCAAATTAATTAATAAATAATGTACTATTATTTGAGTCAAATTCCTAAAGGTGTCTTCTTTTTTTTGGCATGCTCTGCAATGAATCTATAGTCTGTCTTGTATGCTATGTTATTGAGAATAAATATTAAATTATAGTATATCATAATATAAATGTATTATAAAAATTAGTAATTGCGATAGTGTGGTCCTAATGTAAAAACAAACATGCTGAAGAGCCTAGAAGCTTAACTGTGAATTCAGTATATGGTGAAGGTAGCATTTCATATCAACGGGGAAAGAATGATTCCTGAATTAACTATCCTGAAATAATTAACAATTTACCTAAAAGTAAATGTGTATCCCCATCCCATACCGTGTAGTAGCATTAATTCCAGATATATCAAAGGATTGAAAAGAAGGTATATTGGTGTTTATCTCCTATTGTTGAAATAAATGACCTTTTCGTTTTTTTGCTGCTTTACTGTGTATTGCAGTGCCTGCTATATTTGTGTTTTTGTTTATTTGTGTTTCCGTATACAAAACTTCTTAGAAGAGTGATCAACTAAGATAGTTGTATGTGTTAGTGAAACATTTGGGAGCATTGTCTTTTTAAGATGTGCTTTTTTTTTCTTGGTATGTTTCCTTTACTTGTTTAACAATTTTGGTGGGAAATGGAAAGCTTTTCTGGGTTTATGGAATACAATGGATTGGTGTATGGAGACTGTGGGCCAGAGAGGAAGTGGAAAAAGAGATCTACATGAAAATCATCTTGAGGTAGTTGGGGCAATGTATCAGAGAGGAGATTGGTAAACTGTGGATGATTCCAGGACAGGCTTTATGGTGAAACAGATTAGGAAAAGGTAAAGAAACTGGCAGAATGAGGTTCCAACACTAGACTAATGGGCAGAGACAGAATTTCACTCTTGAGTCTTAGCTGCAGACCATATCTCTTTTCTTTTATAATGGTCAAGAAGGATTTATTGACATAGGTAGAATTTTATAGAACATTAATAACATTTTATTCATTCCCTTGAGTGTTCACTAGGTCTAATATGCTATTTTAGGAATAGACAATATGCACAGAATTAATATATATGGCAGACATTCTTTTTTGGCTATCCCAGATTTGTTTACAACCTCCTTTTACCTTTTTTTTCTGTATTAGAGGCTGGGGAACTATACTACTCACCATCCCAGAAAGCTTTGTAGCTACTAAAGGCAGCCATGTGTCATAGGACTGACTATTGACAAGCGGGTGCAGTATCTTTGGAAAATCTTTCTATCTCAAATGAAAAAAAGCCTTACTGGGAGCAAGCCTTGGCTGTTTTTGCTCCTTCATTATGGAGGTACATCTGCCATCTTGTGACCCTGAGACACAGGCTTGAGATAAAGACCTATACATAGGGAATGTGGAAAAATGTAGAGATTGTCGACATGTCTAAGTTGGCATACAGCCCTGTTCTGCCTAGCCTGAGATTTGTTGTATGAAACAATATACCCCTATTGGCTAAACATCTTCAGTAATATTTTCTGCTGTTTGCAGCTAAATGGGACCCTAACTGTTATATTCTTTATATCATTGTCATTTTAAAGGATTATACTGGGAATAAGTACTATTATACTGGGAAAAATCTGTTATCTCTGTTTGACTATATAATACATTCATATAAAATCACAACTTAAAGTTTATGAACTGGGCATATATTTGGAGACTTTTTGACTTTTTCTGAACTATTTCATCATTTTAATTGTCAGCAATAAGTTTGTTATGCTTGAACAATTTGATACTTTCCTTAAATTTTCCAGTCTTGTGCTTTTGAATAAATAAACTCCATGAAGACAGGGTTCTGGTCATATTTTCCCTTTCTTGACAGATAGGTACTAGGAATTTAGAGATATTTGATAAATATTTTGAATGGATGCACTAACTATCCCATTTTCAATTTTTAGTCTAAATATTGAGACTGTATTCTTTCATATGTTGAGATCTATCTAGCCCTGAGGGATTAGGTGTAATATCTAACTTACGTATACTGCTCCTAGAACCCAGCTACTGAACTCATATCTATAGCCGTATCCTTTTTGGATGGGCCTCATATAATTAATTATGCTCTATGAAAAACATGTGATTAAAGGTTTCTGCAATGTTCTTATTTATAGGATGAAGTATTCCAAACAGGAAGAGTTCAATCATCAGTTAATTTGGGGAAATTCCGGTTTTGTGTTTATACCTACATAAACGGGCATTACAATAATACCAACAACTTTAACTTTTGTATGCACACTGCTTCTGCTTTTCCACTCGGCAGCCATGATGTGGGCATGACACATGTACTTTTATGTTATAGATAAGTAAGTGGAGACTCAAATTGAGAAACTGAACAAATAGGACTTGAAGTTGGATATTATTTTAAAATCTTGCTGCCTAACCAAGGGCAATTGATTTTTATTGATTCTCTACCTGATGCTCTTGTAATTTACTTAGGAAATTCAGCTTTCTATCACTAATGCTACCTAATTCAGTTAAAGGTTTATGTAGTTAACCTGATCATCAGCTTCTACTATAGGAGAAGAAATTCAAAAGTATCACTTGGATTTTATATATGTAGTTTAGGAAGATGTTGCTTATTTGTGAGTTAGTCATTAAGATAACATGTTTTCATAACATCTATGAAGTATATACTAGCAGAGTGCTTTTTGATGGCAATGAATAACTTCCAGCAAAACTGTTCTGGTTGTTTTTCCAACTCCAAAAATTCTGAAGAGTTCCATTCATTGTACGAATTTTTATATGTAATTCACATTTGAGTGAGAAATTCCAATCTTTTTAACCTTCTGAAATAGTAAATGAACATGGTCACAGTAAGAAATGCCAGCAGTTTAGCGACGAACCAGTGGTAGTTGTCTTCATTCTACCAAACAACTAACCTTCTTTATACTAGATACTCTGCGAGAGCCTCGAATGCAAAGATGAAGGAGACTCAGACACTGACTCAGAAGATCTTTATGCAGTCAGGGAGATACAGACACATAGAAAATGATAACAATATAGGGACAGATGTGCTAAAGGTGAACAGGTGAAGATGATTACAACACCAAGAGTTTTTACTTGGCCTCTTTGCTGAGACTAGCACTGCCCAAAGTAAATATAACACAAACCACAAATGTAAAGCGCATATATAATGTCTCACGACATATTTCAAAAAAGTAAAAAGAAATAGATGAAATTAATTTTAATATTTTATTTAACCCATTGTATAAAAATCCTAACATTTCAACATTTAATCAACATAAAAATTATCAATTACATTTTACGTTTTTGTTACTAAATATATGAAATCTAGTGGGTATTTTATATGCACAGAACACTGTAATTCAGACTAGCCACATTTCAAATGCTCAGTGGAACATAGGGCCAATGCCACTGTATAGAATAGCAGGAGTGTAGAACACTTTTCTCTCAGGTGTCTGCATAGCTTGCTCCTGCACTGACAAAAAGGCCTTCAACCATCTTTTAATTAGAGGAAAAATTTTCTAAATTGTCCCCCAATCTAAAAATATGCCTAATTCTTTAAAGGTAATTTTGTAACTACAGAATTTCAAATATAGTAAGCAAGATTTCCAGAAAAAGATGAAGAAAGGAATACTTAGATACTCTTGACTAGGGAATACCATACATATGGTCCATTCAGAAGAATGCTGCTTAGTATTTTGTAATTCTTGTTAGAACAACTGCATTTTTAAAAGGGATTCTTTTGCCAAAGATCCATTAGAATATGAGTGTTTATAATATTTCTTAGAAGTAGTTTATAAAAGTTTTTGTTGTTGTTGTTTCTTGGATCTCTTATGAAGAGCATGTTTTAAATTTGCCTCCTTGATCCTTCATTATGGCCGATGTTTTGCATTTTTACCAATGTATATAATGGTTCCAAAGGAATTACTTATTTTAGTCAAAAACAGGATGAGATACTGAATCATAATGAGAACACTCAACCTATTTCATTTCCATTGTGATTTCTTGTTTGCATTTTAAAAATTTATTTTCTGTAATAAGTTCAGGCAAGACATGTTTGGACAGTAATCAGAATAATAACAGCAAAATACAGAGGAACTCTAGAATTTTGCTAGGGGTAGTGGTGGGAGAAAAATATATTTTCCCTTTCCAGTTGAAGCTTCAGTGTTATTTATAAATAATCTCCTTCCAAAGCAGCATGAGTGGGGATGTTTTTGAGACTTTGCTGAACACATTTTAGGCATTTTTCTAACTGTTTTAAATAGAAGTATGATGACTCTTATAAGATTATCTTGAACCATTATAGGACCGGGTAATTGTGCTATTTTTCAGAAGTATAAGAAATTATTTATGTTGTATGATATTTTGTAATATGCCTCTGTTGCCAGTAATTGTCTCTAGAATTTTGTAGTTAATTATAGAGTAATGTTTCAAAGAATGCATATGTCTTGATTGGCCTAGAACAGTCAATTAATGTTTTAATATGCTTTTATACAACTGCACATTAAATTAGGTCATAATTATTTTTAAACAGGATGGTGAAGTGGATGCTGAAGAACTTCAGAGATGTTTGACACAGTCTGGAATTAGTGGAACTTATTCTCGTGAGATCTTTTTTCCACTCTTGTTGAAATTGTAATAGGAAATTTATTTTCTTTTTTGTCTTTGTAATTAAAATGTTTAAAAATTTATCACAATTATACATGAACATAAAGAATCAAATAACTGTAAAACTTGTTATAAAAATAACTATTCATTGTGCATTCCTGTCTCTTCAACACGAATTGCTCATAGAGGAGACTTCTTTTAACTTAAAAAACAAAAACAAAAACAAAAAACTGATTCTTTTGAAATTTGCTTCTACATTTCAAGATAACATTTATTTTTTCATGATTGAGGTTCAGTTTTTATGATTATCAGTTGATATCCTGCTATGGAAGATGAGGATTTCACTTTATTTCCACTGTAAACTCCCCCGTCTCTGTACCCCACACTGGAATCTTTCCCATTTTCCTGTCCTTCCAGTGTCATTATATGTATAATAATTTTGGTTAGGTACATTAGTCTTTACCTTATTTATACTATCTGAATGCTGCTTATAGCTGTGTCTTATGATAATGTATAACTACTTTTCTTTTTTATATAATGTTTTGCTTTTCTTGAAATCAGTAGTTGTTGGGCATTCTTTTTCATCATCCAGAACTCTGGGACATTCTGTCTTTTATGCATAGCTGTCATGCTGGGATTCTTTCACCATCATTTTGGAGCTGATTTCCCCATTTCTTTTGAGCTGAATGTCCTTTTTACTCCATCTCTTCTTGTCCGCTTTTTAAAAATTCATTGTTTTAGTGAAATACATAGTTAAGTAGCTTCTTAATAAAAGAATACATGGGAGGTAAAGTTTTGAGAGCTTATGTGTCTAAAAATGCTTTCATTCTACCTTCAGAATTGATTGGGCAGGTATGGAATTCTAAGTTACAAATGATTCCCATGCAGAATTTTAAAGGTATTGCTCCATTGTTTCTAGTGTCCCTTGTTGCTTTATCTTTCTCTTTCCTGCCTGGATGTGATGTGATTTGTTATTCCTCTTTGGAAACTTGTGAGATCTTTGTCTTTAGTATTCTGTAACTTGACAGTGAAGTGCCTAGTTGTGTTGTGTGGGGAACTCAGAGGGTATTTTCAGCCCGGAAACTCCTTTGCTTTAGTTATAGGACATTTTCTTCAATGATGTTTTCTGTTTCTGGAATGTTTTTTGTTTTGACTGGGACTTCTACTTTTCTCATCTTTTCCCTCCTTTTTTATTTCTGAACTTTTTGGGAAATTTCCTCAACTTTATTTCCTAAACCTTCTATTGAGTCTTTCATTTCTGCTTTTCATTAGAATCCAAGAGCTTCTGTTTTATTTTCATGAATGTGATGTTATCTTTTATCTCTCTGAGGTTATTAATATATTTTTAAAGTTATTTCTATATAACCTTCGTTTTTTTCCAAATTGTTTTTCCCCTCACTTTCTTTGTTTTGGTTGTTTTTCATGTTGGATGCTTTTCTCAGTTATCTGATAATACTGCCTTGCTCATATTTTAACTAAAATACTGATTAGAACCAGAGATCATGGTTGGGTGTTGATTGTGGGCTTCAGTGTGTGGTGGTTTGGCTGGGCAGTTTTGTCTGGGAACTCTGGGTGTCAGTATGTTTAGGGATTCCCTTTTGGGCTGGGTTTTCCATTGGCCTTTTACCTGGAAAGGAGAGGTGGACTCAGAAGGGTTCTCAAGCCTTTTGTAAATTGTCCTTTAATTGCTTTGTTTTTAGAAGGTAGCCTTGTCTCAGCTCTGGTAACATTTAATTCAGAGACTTCTCCAGAGGATAACATTCCAGAGTTCTGCTGGATTGGAAGTAGGTGTAGCATCCATCCAACTGAACTGAGGCAGGGAGGGGATGGATATGAGGCTTTGAATGCTCCTTAGGTAGATATTCAGCCAATTCTTCTGTTTTTATCTCTACTTTCACACCCACTTTCAGAAGTACTGCCAATTCTTAGGCATTTGGGGTCTTCTCCAAGGGTTGCTTCTCAGCTTTTCTCCTTACAAGTTCAGGAATCCACGTTTTCAGATCTAGGCTGGTTAACTCACATCCATCAACTCTTCAATTTGCAAAATATTATTCCTTTGTTTCCTGACTAATTCTCTTTTTCTCTTAAATTTTTTGCCTTAAAAAATATCAGTTTATTGTCCATTCTATTGGGCTGCAGGGAAGAAGTGAAAAATCTGTCATCTTTCCTGAAAAGTCTCTCTCCTCACTGTTTGTCCAAAATATTTCTTCTTATACATACACATTCCTATTCTGAGAGTGAAGATCTGCTTATTTGCTGATTCAGTTTTAGCCATCTATTACCATTAATACAGATTCTCTCACTTTATGAATGTGTGCCAAGTTAATTTTAAAGGAAAATAGATATTATTTACTTGCCCAAAAGAGGAAATACTGTTCCAGAAATTTCTCACATAATCTCCTCAGTCTGATAGTTTTATAGACTTAGCTTTGTAAGTTTGGGAAATTACCTTTCTGGGTCCCAGTTTCTACCTTTTCAAAACTGGAACTTTTATATGTTTAGCATGTTTATGTGAACTCATGTAACACATACCACCTTACTCATACTAAGAACACATTGAATGCCTTTTGAGTTGTCAATTTGAAAATAGTACAACCAACAATTCTAACATTGATAGCATATTAAACATTTAAAGAAAATCAGCGATTTTAACTTTGGAGTGTTTTATAATTTTTTTTTAGTGGGTCTAAAATTAAGCTGAAATAATTTTCTTTTTCTATAAAATGTTAAAATGCTATGAATAAAATAAAATAATAATTTTGAAAATTTTTATTTATTCATTCATTCACATTAACAAGCTGCTAGTAAACACTTGGTAAGTTTAAACTATAATAACATGACATTTTCTTTATCAGGACTAGGAAATTAGTCTTGGGACAAGTCAGCATACTAGTTGAATGTAATTGTGAAAAGGATTGGAAAAACTGAATTTTATCTATCGGTCATCAGTTATAGTTCTGTAAATATGAAAGTGTTAATATTTCAAATCACTCGGGTTTTAAGATAGCTTGCATTGATTTCTTCCTCCTTTTTTCTCTTCCCAACCTTGGAGAAGATCCAGTTGCTGCTATTCAGCTGCTCATTTTTTCTTATTTTGTCTATTACAATAAACTACCAAAGGACTTACCTGTTTCTAGCATCATCTCACATTATAGTTTATTCATTGTAAACTGAAGTTTCTAAAATGGAAATTTTAGAATTTCCCTTCTGCTTTTGAAAACACTTCAGTGGCTTTTATTGGCCCAAACTTTTTGCAGTGGTATTCAAAAGTTTGATGATTTGGCCCTCATTTGCCTTTCTAATGTCATCTTATGCCACTCTCTCCCATGTACTGTGACTCAAGTTTTGTGATCTCAGTACATGCCAACTTCTACTTAAACTCCATTTGTTATTTGTGTTGTGACGACTGGAAGCCTTCCTTTTCCCCAGGCCTGGGTAAAGCCAAGTGCTTTACATTCCTAGAATGTCTCTGTCACAGTAATTTTCAGTTAGTTTATAATTGTTCATTTAATTATCTTAGTCCCTTCACTAGATATGAGTACTTTGGAGGCAGTATTTTTTTTTTTAAACAAAGGGTGCTTAACATTCAATAAAAGCTTGCTGATTGTGGTGATTTTATATATTTTGGCAGTTTTTAAATGTTTTATTTTGGAACTAGAGATTGTCATAATTGTACATAGATAAAGTTGGGCATACTCTAATTTAAATATTGAATATGTTTTACAGCCTTCAGTTTGGAAACCTGTAGAATTATGATTGCCATGTTGGATGTATCCTTGAATAGAAATAGAAAATAGAAAATAGTAGAATAAAGAGTATTTGCTTCCTGAATATTAAGCCAGTTGTTAGATTTCAGTGCCCATAGTAAAATAGTGAACTTAAAAATACTTTGTAGGATCCTGATTAAATTCCAGGCTTTTTAGTTTGAATGCAGAAATCTATTCATATGATGAGTTTGGCTGACTCTACAGAAGCATACTTAGGTTTTAGTCAATGATTTAGAGTCAGAAAAACTTTATTAGCTATCAAAATTTATTTTTGTTAATAAAACCATCAGAGAGATTACACAGGAAAAATGGGATTCAATGAATTCAAAGAGCTATGGGCAGCTCTTAATGCCTGGAAGCAAAACTTCATGACTGTTGATCAAGACCGAAGTGGCACAATAGAACATCATGAGTTGAGAGAAGCCATTGCTCTCATGGGTAAGAACATTAACATTCTTTAGAATGTATAAAGCTCTTCTTTGTTCTTTCATTAGATGAATCTTAATTGCTTCAATTTGCTAAGTAATAAAGTGATATATTTTTCACCAGCAAGTTCTTTTGTTTGTTTTCAAGGTTGTAGGTAAATTCTGATCAAAGACTTCAACACAACCATTTTAATTATGATTTTTTTCAAAAGATAATCTTCCATACATGCATACGTTCTGAATTTCTTCTGTTGAGTATGTTTAAATTTATTTCTTTGTTAGTACTCACCACTTACATTGTATTCTTTTATAACTTGGCAGGTTCTCTAATTGGGAGCCAAAGCTTGCCTCTGTCAGTCACAAATCTGTACCAAATAGCTTTTCAGCAGTAAAAACCATGATTTTGTTTGTCTTTTTTTTTTTTTTCTTTCAGATATAGTACAGAACGCATAGCAGGTACCAAAATACATCAAGGTGGAAATACTACATTTTAGAGTAATTTAAAAGTATATAACTTTATTTTTATCATACCTCTTTTAAGCTAATATTCTTAGTGTACTTTCAAAATGGATAACATACAGTGGTGTTTAATTTGCTTAAAGTCAATGCAGTTCTAAGTAGCTTTCTGAATTGTTTTCATGTTTGTGATTTTATTATTATTATTTTTTTTGAGATGGAGTCTCGCTCTGTTGCCCAGGCTGGAGTGCAATGGCACGATCTCGGCTCATGGCAACCTTTGCCTCCCGGGTTCAAGCGATTCTCCTGCCTAAGTCTCCTGAATAGCTGGGATTACAGGCGTGTGCCACTATACCTGGCTAATTTTTGTATTTTTAGTAGAGACAGGGTTTCACTATGTTGGTCAGGGTGGTTTTGACCTCCTGACCTCCTGATCCACCCACCTTGGCCTCCCAAAGTGCTGGGATTACAGGCTTGAGCCACCACACCCAGTCCCTTGTAATTTTATTTATACTCTTTTCTAAACAAAATATATTTGTATGAAAATTAATTTTTTAGAAGTTAAAATCTGAACCCAATGGAAGTAGACTTATCTCAAATTACAATTTAAAGAAGTCAAACTAGTGATTTGTTTGGTTTTGTTTTATAAATAGACATTTTAATTTAGTCCCCTAGGGACAATCCAGTCCATATAAACATGTGTAGTTCAATTATAGATGCTTAATACCTAATGGATTAAACCTGGTCCTTGATTCAGCTAATGTTGGGAGATTAATATAATCTTTAGCAGAAAAGTAAACCTCCAGAGTTCAGTTAGGCAGCTAGATGTAAAAAGGGTATTCTGGATAATTCAAATTTAAGATCTTCATATATATTTAAAAATTCTCAGATTATTTTGGTGAGAATTCTATGGGAAAATCTAGGAATTTTATCAGTACCACATTTGGATCATAACTCTCTAATATGAAGTTCAAACTATATTTGCATATAATTACATTAGTTTGCATGTTTTAATGCGTCTTTCATTTATACCTTTACTTTCTTTTACTTTTAGCAGGTTTCCTGCATTACATTCTATTGTATTTAGCTACATGCATAATTTTCTCCTATTGCATTTATTTTGGTTGTTTTCACCTTTGAATGGGTTAGTGTCATTTGTTCAAGTCCACAAATCCAGTAATGTATGGGCAATTATAGTGGGCTACCATTCTTCTTAGTAAAGCGTACACATCTCACTAAAAGCCTAGGGCCATCTATAAGGGTACAGCAAGTAGTATATATTAATTCATGTTTTTATTCATTTTTTCTCATTCATTTTAAATTTTAGATTTTATGTATACTTTAAAATGGGAGTAATCAAACAGTAATACATATATAGAATTTAAAACTAGTTTTAAACATATACTTGGAGTGAATGATCAAAAAATTCTCATTGATATAAGTATAAAATAAAAAATTTTGGATATCATAGGACTACTAGAACAAAGAACCAATGAAATCAGTGAAGTAGTGAGAAAGCTGTTATTCTTATTACAGTGTGTGAAGAAACATTAAGATTTCTAGGGCAAAAAGGAATAATGTTTTTCCGTTTTTATTCCCCTTTAGAGCAATAAAGTTGGTCCTCAAGTTTCCCTCAGTTATAAAAGATACTTTCAAGTAATATGTTCAGTGGGAAATATGATTTGAATAGCAAAGATCATTAGTAATCTTTGCATTAATATTTTTTAAGAAATATAAAAAGTTACATAATTGAAATATTGAAGCATTAAAATCTGTGAAATTAGACATTATTTCAAAATAAAAATATATGACAAATTCATAAGAAGAGAATTATTTTCTTTAGCTTTGACTTTATTACAAAGTTAGAATTGTAATATTTATATACTGATTAACAGGATTAACAGTGAAGCCTTTGATCAATTTCAATATTAATGTATTTTGTCTCTAATTATATTTTTATGGAATGAATTTTGAAAGTTAATTTATTTTATGACTTCATTAATGAGAAAGCAATCTTGCAGTGTTCTTATGTTATTTACATTTAGAAGTTTTAATTTATCTCTTTTTAGGTTATAGGCTGAGTCCTCAAACATTAACTACTATTGTTCAACGTTATAGCAAGAATGGCAGAATTTTCTTTGATGATTATGTTGCTTGCTGTGTGAAGCTTCGAGCATTGACAGGTATTGACTATTTAAAACTAGGTACAGTATTATGTAGCTATTTTTCTTGAATAATACGTCTCATTTCTTCCAGCAAATTTATAATAATATATGCTTTCCCCCTTTATTTGCTGTTCAATCTAATTAGTTTTAAGGCTTTAAAAATTAAGGAATAGAAATGATAAAAATTGTTATATGTTATTTTTTGGAAGGTTTTCTTCATATCTGTGTTGCCTGGGCTTTTCAGTCACTTAAGATTTAGTTGAATATGAAATCATTCTTTTTTTGTAACGGGGGGGGACAAAATATGTGAAACTATATATCTTAAATTACAATAAAAAAGTAATTTCTGTGTTTAAAGATTTCTTTAGGAAAAGAGACCACTTGCGACAAGGGTTTGTGAATTTCGTATATGATGATGTGAGTATCCTGCTTTTGATATTTATACTGTGTTGTAGATACATTCTTAGTAAAAAAAATTAGGTGATACCAAGTACCAATACTGCAAATAATATATTTTGTATACCGTATACTTTTTCTATATTTTTCAAGTTGACACAAATATAAGATTAATATTGGTATAGGTGCCAAACAATTTGACTTCATGTTAAATTGTAAATATTCTTTTCAGTTTTTATGACAGGTTTTTGGAGTTAAAAAAAATGATCTTTCAAATCACTTTTAAGGGCCCAAACCACCATTGTTTTTTCAAAAAGTAGTTTACTTTGGTGATATATTTTCTCAGGGGGGGGAAAATTTTAATCCAGGACAGATTATGAAGCTGTTCATTTCTCATTTCAAATGGTTACTATTATCCTGATAATCAGGGTTTTTTAAAATTCAAGCTATAAGACAGTTATATTTCACCTGTGTTTTAATGTTTCAGGGTTTTTGTTTTGTTTTTCTTATATTTACTGATAGAAGTTACAGGGTCAACATTACTATTATTTATTGTCTTGAATTATAAACCTTGGAAACAAATTTTCCCTCTTAAGAAAATGCTCTTATGGAATATAATTAGTCAAACACAATTAAAAACCATTTTATTCTTAATAGATAATTATTTTACTTATGTATTAGTTTTTGCAGGGCACTATGGCAATTTGAATGTCTAGAATTCTAAACCTGAAGAGACATTGTGAATTCTTTTGCTTGGAGGAAGTGGACTGGACTACTTCAAAAATTTTAAGGCTTTTTCCATGTTCTTCCTACCTGTTGAATCTCTTCCCTTTCTATGCATTTTTATTTTAGCAGGTAGTTCAAAGCAATAAAAGATTTTTTTTTTAATTTGGAATATTACTGCTTTTGGAAAGTTACCATTTTACAGATATGTGCATATTGTCATAAAATATTTGTATATGATTGATTTAAATAATGCTTAGCCTTAATTTTTAATCATGTAAACTTAGAGGAATGTACTTAAAAGATAGATTGTATAAGAAGTCAAATGATAAAAACCTAGAAAAAACTAATTTATACTTACCTGAAGGTTACAAATTAGACTTTTAAATTTTGTTTGCAGTTGGTGGTGTTTGAGGGTCAGCTAGAAATGAAAGCCTGGATTTTGTGCTATGTTTGTAATATAGTTTGTTCCTTTGTAATATAGTTTGTTCCTTGATCAAATAATCTGAAAGGAAACTTAGAGCTCTTTGTCTGCGAAGAAGAAAATTATCTCCCCAGTCAAATCTGTGATGAAATAAGACTACAAAAGGCATTATTTTTCCTTTTTTTATTTTTTGTAATATATTTTTCTTCAGTATGTTATATTGTCTTCTCTAAGCAAAAAGTTCTTAATAAACATAGTATTTCTCTCTACACCCTGTTTCATTAGTGAAGACATAGTTCACCTAAAATGGCATCCTCCTCTAAATCTAGACTTTTTGGAAATGGCACATACGATTGATGAAATCAACATTCAAATTTGTCCTAACTAAATTAACCACTCTAATTGTTCAGAAATTATACATTTGACTTATTTGACATTAGTGGTGTCTTTGCCATTAAAAATACCAGTAAATATTTTGAGTGCATCTAAGTAATCTGGGGTTTTGAGCATAGTAGACACCACAGCAATTTTTCTGAGTGATATTAAAACTGTCAAAAATGCAAAGTAGAATCACCAGATCTTTAGTGCTTAATATCCCTAGTATAAGATGTTACAATTAATGTGATTTATTTCTTGCCAAACACCTTGTGTCTTGGTGAAGATTTAATAAACTACATATTTTTCTTATGCTTTAAATGAGTATCTTCCAGCTAACAGTGAGTGACATAATTTTATGACTGTTGACCAAATTAATTTATATATTTTATAAAATCCCATTTTCTTAATGGATGGAGGATAGACGACAATATCTTGAACAAAACCTTTCATAAACTTACAGAATTTTAAATCAGCTTTCACTTTAAAAAAATCCTGGAAAGGAAGTGATACATAGTCACTTGACACTAATAATTTTATATAATTTGCTGTCAAATTCACTTGGTCAGTTTTATAAAAATGTGTGAGTTAGTAATCCACGTAATTTTGTTCTGTGGCTTTTTTTTTCATTAAGATATATTTAATCATGTGAGAGGACATAAACTGAGTTAATTTTTAAAAAAAACAGAATTATAAGTGTTGTAGGAAAAAGCAGATGTAAAAACACCATGTGTTGTTCACATTGAATGGTGATAATGTGGCTCAGCAACATGTAATCTTAACATCCAGGTTATATGATGGTCTTTTCTGAACTATCCTGAGGTTAATTATGATTATCTCTCTTACTTGGAGGCTCACAGTTGAGGTAAAACTTTTAAAATGACAAACGGTATTATTCATGCAAATTTCTGCCAAATGACACTCTGTATTAGACCTCTTTAACACAATTCTCATCTAAAAATGTTCCTATGACTTTTGGTCATAGGAGGTCTATGAAGGAGCTTCCATGGTCAAACATATTTAGAAACTCTCACCTTATAAACTTGATAATGTATATTAGTGTCTGAAAACCCAAGGTTAATAAAATCGGTCATGTTTAATTTTATTTGACCCAGTTTTTTTTCCAAATTTTTTGACCACAGAACCCCTTTCTGTAGCAAAACTAACATTCTGTGCTGATCCAACTCAATTGCCAGGCAACTCTTCTGTACTTTTCATTAGATAGACAAACGTTTATTAACAGAAACATTGGGCCTAGAGAATATTTTACTAGAATTTTTATACTGAAGTACAGTTCACCTTTTTGATGGTTTAAAAATAACTGATATAAATATTTGTTATTAAAGATTAAATAGTTTTATGATGAACACAACTGCAATATGAATATGGTATAATGTTATACCATACCAGTTTTTTTATGATGATGTAAATTATTGAATAATGTACACTCTTAATGTATAAGTGCTTTTATTTATACAGTTAACATGTTTCCATGTCATTTTGAGAATTTTTTTAATAAACATTCAAATAGCTTGCTGTAAAGTTTCATATCATACAAAATCTGTTACATATATATTATGAGATGCTTCAGTTCAAATAACAGTGCAGTAATTCACCTCTAACTAAAACACTGCCAAATGATTAAGTGTCATGTATTGCACTTCTATTTTGAGTGGCAGTTTACACATTTTAAATTACATCAAGGGTAAATCAATACTATGGAAATCTTAATTTGGTCCACTTAAATGTAATTTCAAGGATTTCTCATTTGATCTATTTAAGCATGCATCCAGAAAAAAGTAACAAAAAATGTAGTCAAGTTACGTTTATTTCCAAAAAAAGGCATTTAACCTAGAAGAAGTAGAATCTGTTAAAGTCTGTGGAGTTAAAAAAAATAACAGAAAATCAATTTATTTGTGATTATTTCTTTTAAGTAAAATGTAGACATCAAGTTATCTTTTAATCTTATGATATTACTAAACTGGACAAACAAAATAAATACTCTGTCAGAAATGTGCTCTTCTTTGTCTTTTTATGTTTGACAAACTCATAAATGATATGTTTTCTTCTGTTTTTCTATGATTTTCTGGGAAATTAATAGGAATAAACTTGTTAATAACTGGTGAATTAAATCTGGTGAGTAAAATCCAAGACTTCTTTCAGGCTAGCATATTCTGTTTCATAAGCTTTAAAATGCAATCATGGATGTTTTATTACTTTAAAACTTGTGTTAGAAGATCCCAATTTTTTGGTCTTAATTCAATCATTTACATAGTGAATTAAGCACATTGGAATAAATAAGTAATGCTAAAGTATCATCCAAGAATATAGAGTTTATTATTAGATGATACAAATAAAAAATACTTAGAACTAGTAAATATTTAGAAAATTTGAGTGCAGATGGAATTTTAAATGAATACTGCCCAGGTAATTTGAAGTCTAGAATGAGGTCATCACATAGTACCTATATTAAACTTTTCCTGTAATTTAGAATACTGAGCATAAAACTACTTTCCAGCAAAACACTGGGAAACTTAGGAAAAATTTGTCTTAGTATCAGCTCATTTGCTGGGAAATCTGTGCTTTAAATAATTTCCTGCCATATCTCTTTCTGTTTGTGTTTTAAAATATGTTTTTCTGGCATATAAAGAAAGATTCTTATATACTTAGCATTCCTTTTATCCAAGTAGCTTATGCAGCTTTGTGGATTATTTTGCAAGTTTCAAGACTCAGGTGTGCTTCTATATATCTGAATAGATAGTGAGTAGACATTGGCAACACTTCTACATCACTATGATGTGCCTTACAGGAAGAGAATGGGGAAGCTCTTTCCCTATGTGCTAGTTATGTGCCCATTCTTCAGATGTGCCCATTCTGTAACATCAGAGATGGTGGCAATTTGCAAAGCTTATAGGGAGTGAGAATTGGCCTAAATTCTCATTTAATAGCAATATTCAGGGACACTTATGTTAGGAATGATTAGGTCTTAATTCTGACATATTGTGAGAGGTACCCCAGCGTTTTCCCTTAACCATAAAAATATAAGTATGTACAAATACATGCATACAGATATTTGCATTCTAGTTGACTGTACTGAATCAAATTTCATTTTGCTGTAATTATTCAATTTTTGAAGGATAACCTGAAGAGTGCTAGTATGAATATACCAGAAACATTAAACATTCATTTTTTGAAAATTATAAGCCATTTAAAAGTGATTTTTAAGATTTTTCTGTACTTTTGGATGCATATTTAATTTCCCATAGCTATCTAAATGTGGTACCCTCAAATTTATATTATGGCAGGTGATAATTTATCTTACGGTAAGTTCTAAAATATTTAGCTTCATATTTAGAGTCTCATTTTCTGATCAGCCTCAGTTATAGATATCATTACAACTTTTCTATTTGTGTTTGGTTTTTCATTTGTCAAAGGGAAATATTCTCTTGGTGTTTTAAACCTTAAAGATGAAGGTTAGGAAATCTAAGCCACTAAACAGACTCAACAGTCCTTAGCTTACATGCCACATTATGGCCAACAAATGTAATTTACAAGTTTTCTTGAAGGTAGTTTGATATTTTTTCCCCTTAAATAATAGAGAAGCAACTGGGAGAGGAACTAAGAAAGTATGAAACTCGGGCAAAATAAAATATCTGGATGTTTTCATTCTTGGTTAAAAAATGAAGCAAACATACATTATAAAAAGTTATTTGCATGTATGTTAAAGCCTGTTTATCAGAAATTTTTAGTAAACAATAAATGTTTCAGTCAGTCACTATTGTGGTCTTAACAGGCAATAATCGGTGAAATATTATGATTCTTCTATTTTAGATTTAATGCTCTTTGCCACTCAGTCTAGCTTGCTAGTGTCCTGGTGGAACTCTGCAATAGCTGTAGCACTGTTATGTGATTTCATTAAATAACATCAGCACCACCATGCCTATATCTAGCACTGTTCCTAGTAAAATGTTGGAAAAAGTTGGCTTGTCTAGTAAAAGTATCCTACTTAGCTAATGAGATTTACTTTCTTTTTCCTCAAAATAATTTCTTTTACAAATTCTTGAATTTTTCATGTATAAATAGATCAGAAATTATATGCTCATTCTTAAATTATGTATATATACTATATTTTCAATACAACTTGTACACTTCTTTTAGCTACCAAAAATTTGCAACCATTTTTACAAGAAATGTACATTTTTCTTATTTACAGTTATCTGTAGAAGCTTATTGCAAAACTAGTTGTGCAAGTAGATTACACTGTCAATACCACATACCAATCTTTGAAGAAAATATTTGCTAAAAAATAAATATTTCTGCACAGAATATTTGAAAAGCATTATGATTTCATGCTACATTATGTGCATAAAAACTAGGAAATAGTATGTGTTTTGGTAGATTGTTTCATTTTGTATAAAGCATTCCAAGGTACTTCCTACTTAGCCAGATGTAAGCTGCTTTGTATCAGATGACTGACATTTTCAAGTGATTACACACATTCTTTTTGGAAATGTATTATTCTTTAACTGTTAAACATTCTGATGTAATACATTTTCCCATCAAAATTATAAAATGAAAATTTCAGCTAAAAAGAGGTAATGTGCCTTTAATTGAAATCAGTAGGTGGCTAGGAGATAAAATCTAAAGATTCCTCAAGATTTCTAATCTTATTTAACATTTGGAAGAAAGATGCCAAATCATTTCAGTGCTATTATAGGGGACTTTGAGGAGAAAAGATTACTGAGTCTTTAATTTTACCCCAAAATAAGAATGATGAAAATGTGGGATTTTTTATATTGCTACGCAATATATGTCAGTATAAATAATACAATTTAAATGCTAACAGTTGTGATTATTTTCAATATAAAAACATTAAAATATACAAGAGGCAGTACAAAGAATATAAGTTAAACATAGTGCTTTAAAACCACAGGTATACCAAATTATTTTACATCTTTCAAAATATAAATTAATGGAAGTCAAAGATGTAGTGACTATAATTTAGGGGATTCATCTAATTTTTGACATTAGCTTTTCAAGAATAACTATGTTAGTATTGCCACTTCTCATAATAAGTACTATTTTATTGGGAGCATTTCTGTAATCTTGCTATTCTCATTTAAAAGTTTGATCATGATTGGTAGAGCAATGAAATTTGTCGATTGTATGGTTCTGTGTTCTGAACGTTGCATTTCTATAGATGTTTTAATGTATTCATAGTAATAACATGTTTTAAATAACTTCTTGTTAGTCATCTCTCAATCTCCATGTAATAGTTTGTGTATATAAGCCTCACAGTAGTTTCTTTTCATGCTTTTGTTTATTAATAATTCATGTCTTTCTGTTATTTTTCTGTATTTGACATTTAACCAAAGTGTGTTTGTACCACAAATGCATGTGATGAATTATTGTACTTGGGCACTGATCAATCACAACACCTAATACTGTACATTTAAAACATGATCCTTTAAGTTTGAAAAGTGGTTTAACATCACATCATTATAAGTAGAACCACAGAAGAAAATTTGAATGGGAACACTTGAGGAATGAGGGAGAGAAGGATGCGCTATTGCAAACCTAGAAAACAACTGGAATGCAAACGTATAAATTATTGAATGGTGGACAAAGGCAATATTAGACAAATATAAGGATGCTGTGTATACTGGCGTTCTGCTCTGAGCAACTAGATCTTTGGGAGGTATGTGAAAATGACTTTATAAATTTTTGCTATACAATATGAATGTATGTGCTGGGTAAAGGAAAGAGCAACAGAAATGTTTTAGAAGACCTTAAATAGTGCTACTGCACTATCACCATATTCCGCTATCTTTGTGATGATGCACAAGTCACACAATGATCTTATAGATTTACTATAAGAAGAAATAACGTGCTTTATGGTTTACAAAGCGTTTCTACTTATATATTTCAGAGGATCCTCAACATACCCCTTCAAGATATGTTAGATGCTACCTCCATTTTTATAATTTTGGATACTGGAGCTTGCTTTGGATTTGTCCCAAGAATAAATGGAGAAGGTAGAATCTGAATTCAGGTTTACCACATTGAGTACCCTGCCATTTCCACCATTCCACACAAGAGCTTAGCCAGTTTAAGACTGCATAACATATCTGTGCAATGGAAGAGTGACCTAGGAGTCTGAAAAGAACCATTGCAACTGTAAAATTCTATTTTCTGTAAAAATAGATAATATATTTACTTTCAAAATTGTATTTTGTAAATGTATATTCAGATATCCATCTAAGGACTAAATCATAGATCTAAAGAGGGACTTCCACAGTGAGCCAGCCTTTATAGAATACATTCTAGTAGTACTGATCGACAGATTACTTTTACATACTTGGCATGTAACATCGATTCAGAGTAGATATGTTTATAATAAGGAGATTGATACTCTCACTATTATTATAAATAGTATTTCTTTAAAGCTATAAACCTAATAGTGCAAAATACAATTAAGAGAGAGAAAACAATAGCTATATGTAGGTTTTTCTGCATCAAAAACTTATCTTGGTAACAGCTATTTTCTTTGAGATACTGCATATTGTGCAAAATCTAAATCTTGGGAAATTATTCTCCTGATTGTTTTTAATGCCATGTTTCTGGATGAGAAACAAGGAACCCAGCATTTTTTTTTAGCACCTAGTATGTGCCAGGCACTTTACTATATTTTATCTCATTTCTTCCTCAAGCTTCTGTGAGACAGGTGCCATTATCTTATTTTTGAAGAGTCGAGAAAAAGACTTGGGGAGGTGAATTAACTTGCTCAAAGTCACACAGCTATTGATAAAGAACTGGTATTGGAACCCAAGTTGGTCTGACTGCAGAATCTATGCTTG